TACAGAAGATTAATAGTCAACCAATTATCAAACGATTGTGTTTTAGTTCTTTTAGCCTCAATGAAGAGGACTTTTACTGGTGGCATGTTTAGAAGAATTTAGTAAACAACAATTAAATAAAGAACGATTGCAGCATTTCATTAAGTAAAAATGAAAAACTTACAATGATCTGATCTAGTCTCGTAGAGGTTTACAGCAACAAACTATTCGAAACTACTCCTATAAATAAAGTGCAATACAGGCTTTGAAGTACAGAAATGTAAAAACTAGAAGAAAAATAAAATAGATAAAAACTGGTTTCTAGATCTGAATCTGGGGGTTCTTTCTAGGGCCTCCTCTACTATTTATACTTCTCAATGATAACCGTCGAAACATCCCTCCATGATTGCTGATCATGCTCTCTCACAGTTAACTCCACTACGCCATATTTGTAGTTAGGCTTCCCTCATGATTTTGAATTTGAACCTTGTGAGTAATCGTTAGACCACATCGCCTTATATCCCTTGATCATTCCAATACTACGCAGACCCATTATTACCAATATGGGTTGACATATGTCTAACTATGGTTATCGATTTATATTACCTTCCCAAATTACTCTTCTCATGCCACGTGTTGAATCGTAATTGGCTTATACAATTTACACAGCCAATAGTAGTATTATTCTTTACTTTTATATGCATACAGTTAGGGGTGTAAAAAAAATTGACTAAATCAATTGAATTGGACTGAATCGGTTATATTTGGTTTGTCTTTTAACAAGAATCGGTCTGTGTGATTTTTATATTTAATTTTTTTCGATTTTCGGTTCGGTATCTGTTCAAGTATTTTGTGTACTAAACTAAATTGAAACCGACCACTTCAACATATATTAAATTGGGCGAATTACACTAGTAGTTCCTATAGTTTTAAGACTTGTGTCATTTTGGTCCATGACTTTTCAATTGTAATACATTTGATTCTGAATTTTGAATCTTGTTCCAAATAAGGACAATTGAAGATACCATTGCTTAATTTCCAGGGCAAAATCGTCAATTTGATAAAATATAAACTAATTTGACAAAAATAAATGTCAAAAAAATATTTTTAAATTTTTAAAAATTACTTCTTCCCATCAAAGATAAAATTATGTAAAATTGATAAATCTTTCAAATATTTATTTATTTATTTTACCAAATTAATTTTTATTATGTGTTTGGATAATGATCATGTAATAGGTGGTTGTTAGGATTTTAATGCGTAATCGATATATTTAATATATGAAATGTTTTTAATTTTTTGATTTAATGGATTGGTTTAATAATGATATTAAAGTTATCGCCATATTTGATTTTTGAAAAAATAGAAACTAATTTAATGAAAATAAAAACTATCCATTACATGATTATCATCCTAACATATAATAAAAATTAATTTGATAAAAATAAATAAATAAATAAATGTTTACAAGATTTATTCATTTTACATAATTTTATCTTTAGTGGGTAGAAATAATTTTTAAAAATTCAAAAATATTTTTTTGACATTTATTTTTATCAAATTAGTTTATATTTTATGAAATTGACAATTTTACCTTTAAAAATTAAGCAATGGTATCTTTAATTGTCCTTATTTGCAACAAGATTCAAAATTTAGGTAAAATGTGTCATAATTAAAAAGTCATTGACCAAAATGATACAAGCCCCAAACTATAGGGACTATTAGTAAGATGCATTTAAAAAAGTTAAAAAAAATGCTTAAAATTTAAAAATATTCACTAAAAATAAAAAAATACGAAAAATAAAAAAACTCAGTTTTCGAAAAATTAAAACCAAATACACTGATAGTTTTTTTTTTTTGGTTTGAATGTGATAGTTGTGAAATGTGATATTTTGTCTTATTTACTAAAGTAATCTATTTTATCTTTGAAAAATACTATAGCTCCCAAATTTTCTACCAAATAAATAATTATCCACAAAATTGCGGACTCCACGCCCATGTGATACATTTAGTCATTTATTTGGTAAAAAATTTGAGAGATGTGTTTTAAAGATAAAAAGTACGAAAAGTTGTTTGATTTGGTTTTTTCCAAAAGATGTTTTGGAAAATTATTTTGAGAGAGAGTTTTGGAAAAAGTGATTGATTTGATGTGTGTAAGAGAGAGATTTGTTTGGAAAACTTGTTTGGTTTACAAGTTTTGAGAAATTTTTTTGGAAAAATTTGTTTGGTTTGATTACTTTTAAAAACTTATTTGTAGAGAAAATTTCTCAAAAATTTTTCAGAAATACAAACCAAACGAACCCTTGATATCTCTAGTATTACCCTTTATCTTTTTGTACTTATTTAGTCATTTTAACTCTTAAGTGAGACTTTTGAACTAAGACCTTATTTAAGAAAATACTATTTTAATAATTTTTTTAATTAAAATATGAGATAAAAAAATTAATCAGTGTGTTTGGTTTGAGTTTTCTAGATTAAGTTTTTTGAAAACTAAGTTTTTTTGTTTTCATATTTTTTTGTTTTTAGTGAATATTTTTAAAATTTTAAACATTTTTTTTACATTTTTAGATGCACTTTACTTAGATATATCTAAAAATTAAAAAATTTGTGAAAAAAATATTTTAAAAAATTAATAAATACATAAAAATACAAAATATGTATTGAATTGTTGTATTTTTTTTTATATTTTTGGTATTTAGTGAATTTTTAAAATATTTTTTTTACAATTTTTTTACTTTTTAGGTGTATTTATGTTAGATGTGTCTAAAAAGTAAAAAAATTACTTAAAATATTAAAAAAAATTCAGTAAAAATAAAAAAATACGAAAAATAAGAAAGTAAAATTTTCTGAAAAGTATTTTTTGAAAAATAGAAACAAGCAAGGTGAATACGTTTAAGGTGATTTTTTAATTTTTTATAAAAAGATAAGTAAAAAATATAAAGAATTTTTCTTTATATAAATTATTAATTTTTAAACTAAAAGACAAAATTGCAAACAAGGACTAAAGCCTCGTTTGGAAACATATTTTTTTAAGTGATTTTTTGATTTTTTGACTAAAATATGATGTAAAAAAAATTAGTATATTTGAGATGATTTTTTGATTCTTTACAAAAAAAAAATGTGTAAAAAATAACAAAAAAATAAAATTTTTAACTTTTTAATATAAATTATTGACTTCTTAATTTTTTTACTAAAATAATTACTTGTCAGACGACGCCGAAGGATTGGGTTGGAATAAAATGGACATTGGGATCTCATTGTACGTGGCATCTCCTTTCATAAGAACAGCGTGCTTCACGCTTTACGACTGGGACCCTGCCACTGACAATCATAGTGCTGGGAGCAGCGACACGTGAGGCAGGTGGTCTCTCTCTCACTCCCTCACTACCGTTATATAATAGGGCAAATTATATATACACCCCTCGAGGTTTGGCTAAATTACAGATGCCTCCTGAGGTTTGAGAAATTACGAATTCCCCCATGAATGCTATATTTGCATAAGAAATTAGGGGGTAATTTGTTATGAAATATAAACCTCAGGGGGCAAATTGTTATGAAAATACAAACCTCAGGGGGCGGGATGTAATTTCCGAAACCTCAGGGGGTATCTGTAATTTAGTCAAACCTCGAGGGGTGTATATGTAATTTGCCCTATATAATAACATCAAATTACTTCATCAAATACTTTTCTTATGATTTTTTTTCCTTTTTATGTGATACGGGCTTATTTTAGGAAGATGGTAAAAAGTAATTTTTTGGCTTTTAATTAAACTTTTAATTTTTTTAGACAAATAATTTGAAAAGTTGGTAAAAAGTGACTTTTGACTTTTTTTATTAATATTTATTTATGATGTCAAATCATAATAAAATTACCAAACTACCCCCATTTATTTAAAATATTTACAACTTCACCGATGTAACACATTTTGACCCATGAGGGTAAAATTGAAATTTCACCGTTGGCTAAAAACTAACTTCTCAAATGAAAAAAAAGACAAAAAAATCAACTTTTAACTTTTGCTACAAACCAAAAAAAATGACTAAAAGCCAACTTTTCAAAATAGCCTACGGTAATTTTACTACTTTTTAAAAGTAGTTGATTTTGTGATTTTTATTATATGAATATACATAATAAAAAAAATCCAATTAAGTGAAAAATAATATTTTATTATTATATTATTATTGATTGTATGTCTAATTAATAACAAATTGCTAAATAATTATATGATTCGAAAAACAAAAAAAAAATAGTAAATAAGTTACAAAATATTATTGAAACACTACAACATATAAGAATTTTAGAGATTAAATTTTTTAATTTTTAAAAGTGAAAATTTTATTACAAAAGATATTTAAGAGGTAATTTCTACCGTCATAAAAACAGTCGCTAAAAATTCGTCTCGAAAAATCAAAAACAAAACTTAGTAATCATTGTTCAATCTCCTATTAACTTTTTATAAAATGGTTTTACTCAAGAATACCCGCAAGAAAAAATACCCAGACGCGGTGGTAGGTGCAACTTAGTAATCGACATTTATTAAGATCCAACCGCAGACATTTATAGATATATGGACACACATACATATATATATATATATACATAGATATAATAATAACATGTTACTTTTACTCTGTTGTTGGTGATTACGAGTACTACTACTATAATATGCTATAATTGAGCCCCTCAGAGACTTTCAATCGAGACTATTGACTTCCCAAGTACTCTGAACCAGAGCATCAGACAGAGGACGAGGAGGGTTGAACTAGAGAGAAAGCAATCAAGCAATGAGTCAAGCTTTTCACACTGGCCATGAAGGCCCACCTCATCCACCAGGCAAATATTCGATCGATCGATTCATCACTCAATTCATTCCCCCAAACCTAATTAGATATAATTAGAAGAAGATCGATCACTCTGCACAATCAATCACTGCTTTGCAATTCTTCAATTTTGGTGTGTTTAATACGGGGAAAAAAAAAATTGATTGATTTCTGCCATGATCTGTGCTTTTTGATTTCAGAGCATGCACCGCCGCCGCCTCCACCTGCCGTTCACGGCCACCCTCCACCACCTGTCCCCCCAAGCAGCCACCCTCCTCCACCAGAAGTTGTGCACCACCACCACGAGCAAGAGGAAACTGGCTGCTCTGCTTTCCTCAAAGGCTGGTATGTATTCTCTCTCTCTCTCTCTCTCTCTCTCTCTCTCTCTCTGCTAAAATCTACTTGTCCTTCTTGTGATCATATCTGGGGTTATTGGCATACATGATATGGGTTGTTAGATGGGGAAATTTGGTTGGAAATTATTGTCATATGTATATATATCATCTAATACAAACAATTAATTATCATAGTTTGCAATCAATCGGATTCACCATGTCATATGATGAGTTTGAATCAAAAGTATTTCTTTTTTTAATTTAATTTGTACCAAATTAGTTATAATATCATAATAAAATTCAACAACCATCCTAAGGAAGCCAATAATGAGGAAAAAAAAAAAATCTATCCCAAAAGTTATATTCATTTTTCAAACCAAATTATATGGCAATATTTTAGAATATCTAATGTAACTCACTTTCTTATATCTTATTTAATCATTACCTCTGTTTTACACTTCACGGGTATAGATTATCCATTTTACCTGTAAATATTAATTCAGGACTATTTTCATTCGATATATAGACCACACACTATACTCATTTAATCCCTACCACACAAACAAATTGTAAGTAAAAAGTCCTAGTGTAGATCCTCCCTAGTACACCATTTTTAGTGCATTTTGTAGTGTCAATCAAACAAAAAAAAAAAAAAAAAAAAAAAAAAAAAAAAAAACAGAAAACAAGGACAAGCAGAAGCTGAGAAGTGAGTATCAAGTCTTGTGAGTTAATGGCCAAATAGCTTTATTATATTGTGTCTACAACTCATGATGATTCTGACAGTGGAAATCATTAAACTGATGGATATCATCTTCTCTATATATTGTTTTTTCTTTTTGGCAGTTTGAATGCTCTGTGTTGCCGCTGAGAAATGGGGATTGATTGATCAAATATAAGTCATAGTTTGGTGTTGGAGGCAGGAACATAAGGAGCCCATATGCGTGTGTTTGTACTAGGGACTGAAACTTATGGATGTTGCAATCTATTTATTAGTATGGTTGTTTCGATTTCTCTGGTTTTTTGTATGACCAATTTTATCTCCGTAACTTAAAATTGTCTTCTATTATTTTTATATGTGGAAGTGGCCATCTCTCTGTGCTTGTGCTTGGCTACCTTGGATTGCGTCATTTCATAGCAGTAACTTAGATGATATTATTGTGTGATGTGTATAGGAACAACTAGTTTGACATTTTTGAGTGAGCTGAATTCACTGAGTTTGACACGAATATGGACCAATTAACCATTTTGTTTGTAAAAATAAGCTTACTGGCTGGCGGCTCTCATGTGCATTGTCCATTAAATCAAATGGCAAAATTGAGCCAATTAGAATGAGAGCAGTTCCTTTCAAGACTCCATTTTCTCCATAACCATGAAGATTATATTTTGTGGGCCTTGGAGCAAAATAACAGTGATTTAAACCGTTCATTTTGTAAGTCTCGAAGAGAATAATAAACATGCAAAAAGTTACGTTAATCGATAAATATAAATATATTAACTTATCGTATTTTTATTTTATAAAACGAATGATTTTAGTTTAAAATCATATTTACCGTCAATTTTATAAAACAAAATACAATTAATTATCATGCCTATTAATTTCTGATCAAATTATATATATTTTTCTCTTCAATATTTATGGCATAAACGATTTGAATCACCGTTTTGAGGCTCCACAGCACCGAATCTTAGCACTTGTTTGACAAGAAATTTAGAAGGATTATCAAACTAAAATAGTCACAACAAAATAAAATACGTTAAAAAATAATAAGGTAAAATCTCAAATCCGAAACATAATCATTTTTATTTTTTTTCTCACAAAAGTTAAAAAAAGTCAAAATGTTCAAACGAGATTTTTTAATTCTAAATTAAAATAGTTAAAAAAACTAAAAAATTAAAAATTAACGGAGCCCAAGGTCATGAAAAAACTTGGAGCCTTAGGGTGAGTTCTTCACAATTAGAATTAGAATTATAGTTGTTGAATTGACATGAAGGTCAAAATACGAGGTTCATTAGTACAATTTGCCATAGTTGTTGTCAGCATAGTACCCGTGTGCTATGTACTGTATAAATAAGTAATCAAAAATATTTTTTTAAATTAAATAATAATAATAATAATTTTTAAATTTTATTCATTTTTATTAAAGTTATACATAACAGAAGTTTTTTTATTTATTTTTTATTCTTATGTTATTAATTGTGTATTCTAAATTCTTAATATAAAATAAATGTTATAATTTAATTGGTAAAAATCAAAGAATAAATCACAAAACTTAATTTTAATTTATCATATGATAGTAGTAAATTACATTTGTCAAAATACTAATTTTTCTATGTTTTGTAAAGCCTAAAAATTTGTCTCATCATGCATCAAAATTATAATTTGTCTTATGTCATAACTCTTACATAGAAATGTTAGTCGATTCAATATTTACGCCAACTTGACCTTCAAATAACTATTAAAAATTGTCTTGATCTATGCCCAACTTATGAATCGTTTAACATATTTATTTATTAAATTGATAAAGATATTTATAAGTATTTTTTATAATAAAAATAAGAAATATGCATATATTTTATGCATACTTATTGAAAATTTTGAACTTAACTAAAACAAATTATATATTTATGTTTAAAACTATTAATTGAATAGTTACATATATTTATGTATGAAAAAATTATTTAAGATAGAGTCGCCTTAAATTATAGGTCATATTCTAACCCTAATCTTACACTTGCACTAAAAAATTGACCGGTTAATTAGTAAAAATATTTTATAATAATAAATTTAAACTTGATGTTAAGGGGTTGTTTGGGATGTACTAAATAAGTGTAGAAAAGTAAAGAGGTGATGTGATGAAAAAAAGATAAAAAGATGAATTATTTTTAGGTTGCCAAACTTGGCCTAAAACTATATCATAGTTTATCAAGTTGTGACCAATATGAGTTAGTTTGAGAGTTTTAATATTGGATTAAACAATAAAAAGTAGCCTAAAAACAAAAAATTGATGGTAAGTAACATGCAATAAATACATGTGGTTAGATATAGTTATAAAATATACATCTATATTCAACTTTTATATCGTAAAATCCGCACATTGAATAAATCTCAATTACAAATTACTTTTTTAAATCAATTATTCCACCAAACTATTTGTTATTCTTTTAAGTAATGCTTAATATTAGATTAAACACTAAAAAGTAGCCTAAAAACAAAAAAGTTGATGAGTAACATGGGATAAATACATGTGGTTAGATGGTTATAAAATATACATCTATATTTAACTTTTATATAGTAAAATCCGCACTTTAAATAAATCTCAATCATATATTACTTTTTTAAATCAATTATTCTCCCAAACTAAGTAATACTCACATTTTTAAAACTTATCCAAATAATACTCTAGCCGAATTCATCATCATCCATGCTTCAACCATTCTACCTCCACTACTTACAATGCAACTCTATTATAGTTTTTGATAGCTGCAAACATAAAAAGACAAAATGAAAAATGGGAAAAGGACTTGATTTTAGGTTTTCTTATTTCATATATGAGTAATACTTTATTTTAAAATTCATAAATTATGGGATAGTATTCATTATTTTAAATCTTTATTTATTGATGGGCAAGCCAATTAAATATATAAACTTTTTAATTTTTTTTACAAATTAAAGCAAAAAAACCAAAAACAAAAGTGAAGCGAGTGGTTTAGGATTGAACATAATGAGACAATTATTCATATTATTATAGAGATCGACTTGATCTTATTTTTATGTGACTTTTAGTGTCTAATCCAATTTTAATCCACTGAAACAACCAATGTTTTATATAATGTAATTTAAATCTAAAGTTTAAAATAATAATTACTAAATATTTTTACTATTTGGCCAATCATTTTTTTTAAGATAAGTACGCTAGCTCACTTTAACATTGTTTAAAATAATAATTACCAAATATTTTTACTATTTGGCCAATCATTTTTTTTTAGGATAAGTCTTAGGCTAGCTCACTTTAACACTGGATAATTTTTTTTTTACACACAAGTATTCTCTAATAAACTTTTCTCTTAAATGTTCCTAAATAAATCATTATAGTATATTAAATATGATGCATATATATATATATATATATGTATTCGTATATAATTATCTTCAAGGAAAAAAAAAAGATTGAAGGTGATGTGTTATGAAAGAATGGAGAAATGGTACTGTTGAAATGTAAAAATGTAATGAGTAGAAAAAAAATTAAATATTGACTAACCTTTCTTTTTCTTTTTTTTTTTTTTTTTTTTTTTTTTTTTTTTTTTTTTTTTTTTTTTTTTTATTAACCGAGTATCTGTGCCAGCACCCTTTAGGAGTGACGCATCCTGACTAATCTTGGGAGTAATTGGAGAAAGCTGTGTACCCTTTTCAAACTGCTGCGAGAAGTGCACCCCTCTTACGGGAATCGAACCTGAGACGTGCGCCTAACCCACACATCCCAAACCCAGACCCCAAGTGGTTTACCCACTAGGCTGCACCTCACCCCCCAACCTTTAATAATCTTAGAAAAAAAACTAATAAAAATGATATGGTGTTCTTTTTCATGATATAACCTCTTTAGGAATAAGTAAGTTACATCTGATATTTAAAAAAAGTATTGAAACTGTGTAAAGTAGGTAGGGTTTTTTTTTTTTATTATTATCAGTTGTAGGGTTTTTTACTAGAGAGATGGGGAAGGGAAAGGGAAGAAAGAAATGTTTTAATTTTTTGAAAATTGATGAGAAAGATTATGAAATATTTTGTTATCTTTCCATTTGAAATCTATAAATTAAGGAATAATTATCATTTTTAAAATAATTAATAATTAATTAAGTATATCAATCAATAATTTGTTCTTTAATCTATTTTTTTCCTTCTTTTTCCCGATGTGAGATTATCAAATAAAAACTAGTTAATAGAGATTTACTTAATTATTTAAAATTAAGAAAATCAAGAAAATTAGTATGAGATATTGAAACTCTCACAAAGCTCCTCACTAAATGGGATGAGAGTATATATTTCCTTTATATGAGTAAAGCAACTCATTTTTTTGCTTCTTTTCCTGATGTGGGATTACCAAATAAAAGCTAACCAATGGATATTTTCTTAATTGTTTAAAATTAAGAAAATCAAGAAAATTAGTATGAGATATTAAAACTTCCACAAGGCTCATTACTAAAAACATCATTTTTCTTATATAATATAAATTAATTTTTAAAATTAAATAATAATCTAAAAAATTTATATACAATATTTAGCAAAAATGATTTAGAATCAATTAAATTTTATTTATTTTTATCACAGTTGGATATAAGAGAATTTTTTTTATTTATTCTTATGTCATTAATTGTCTGCTTTAAGTTCTTAATAACAAATATATGTCATACTTTAAGTGGTAAAAATTAAAAATAAATAAATAAAATTGTATTTATGATAAAATATAAATACATTTCGTCTTATGAGTTTCATAAATTTAATTTTTCATATGATAGTGGTAAATTACATTTGTCAATATAGTAATTTTTTCATGTTTTCTGAAGTCTAAAAATTATAATTTGTCTTATGTTATAAGATTTACGTAAAAATAAATTAGGATTCACTTGTGATATTAAATTTGGATTTAAAATTAAATTTACTCCAACTTGTCTTTCACCTAATCATTAAAAATTGTCTTGTTTCTCAACTTATATGAATCATTTGACCTATCTATTTATTAAATTAGTAAATAAATATTTGTAAATATTTTTTTATAATAAAAATAAGAAATATGGACTTATTTTATGCATACTTATTAAAAAGTTTGAATTATACTTATAAAAAAAACTATATATTTATGTTTAAAACAATTAAATGAATAGTTATATATATTTATGTATAAAAAAATTATTTAAGATAAAGCAACCCTAAATTGTAGGTCATATTCTAGTCCTAATAAATTTAAATTTTATATTTAAATTATATCATAGTTTATTAGTTCGTGACTGATATGAGCTAATTTGGGAGTTCTAATATTGGATAAAATATTAAAAAGTAGCCAAGAAAATTTTATTCAAGTCGATTTTTTTTGCCAATAATTCTTGATTTAAGCCTAATCCTTAGAGAATCATTTAATTCATGTCCAATGCATGAGTTAGTAGACCTACATATTTGTTTAATTTTTAATTAGTAAATAAATTTTAATAAAAAAATTATAACAAAAATAGGAAATATGTACATATTTGTTTGGTATATTTATTAACAATTTCAAAATTACATTGGTAATCCCTATATTTTAACTCTTGTGTTATTTTTGTCCTTATAATTTTAATTTGCTTAATTTTGACCATAAATTTATAATTTTGTCTCAATTTGATCCAATTCTTATAATTGCTAGTGTTTTTTTTTAATTAAAAATACACACATGAGTAGCATCTGTTATACTCTTATAGACAAAATTATAAACTTGTTCAACTCAATAAGTTAATATCAACCAACTCAATAACTATTTTCTTTCAAAAATATTAATCGGCATTATCAATTGGACCAAATTAATACAAAATCTAAAAATCAAACTAATTGAAATTACAGAAACCAAATTGATAGAAGAGACAAAATGCAAAAACTATCGATATAATTTACCCCTTTTAAAATATGTCTAAGATATATTTATATTTGAAAAACTATTTAAGACCATATCAGGCTAGAACCTGAATAAAAAATTAATGACTTATTAAAAATATTTAATTATTATAAATAGAAATTTGATTAATTTTCATTTAAACTTTTTCATAGAATTAGGTTGTTTGATAATTTTAATATATAGTTCCAATTTTTCCTTGTTGTCTTTTTAAAAATATTTTAAAATTATATATAATTATAATTTCCTTTGAAATTTTCTTTTCAATCTCAAATTAGTTATAACTTGAATTTGGTTAAAATTTATTTTTGACTTCTCATCTACAAAAACTAACAATAAACATAAGTTAATTTTTTGAACATTGTAAAAAAGGTAAATAAAGAAATATATGATCAATAATAATAAAAACAAAACATATTTTTATTTATCCGGTGACGTTTCACCACTGCATTGATTATAGACATTAATAATAAAATTCATTATAATAATACAACAATAATATATCAAATGATAAGTAACAAATGATCACAATAATTTTTGATAGTTATACAAAAGTATCCAAAATTGTATCTAAAAAATAATATATGATCCATATTCAATTTTTATATGGTAAAATTCACACTTAATCTCAACCACACATTAGTTTTTTAAATCAATTATCACCCAAACAATCTACTATTCTTTTAATATTCAACTTTTCAAAATCCGTCCAAACAATGCTTTGGCTGTGCTCATCATTACCCTTGTTGTTGTCATGCTCACAACCTCCATTAACCATTATGCAACTCTGGTCTAGTTTTTTATCTTTGTAAATATAAAAAGACAATGTTGTAGAAATAAAAAGGTACTATTAGAGTTTTAAAGAATTAAAAATGAAGAATAAAAAAATGCGTGATTTTAGGTTTTCTTATTCTATATATGGGTATTAATTTTTTTTTTTAAATCCATAAATTATGGAATAGTGTTCATTATTTAAAATTTTATTTATTTATGGCAAGTCAATTTTCAATTAAATGTTTTTAATATTTTATAAATAAAAAATTTGAAAATTTTGTTTAAGAAATTTAAAAAACTTCCAAATCATAAATAACAATATAAGACGCCTTATTCTACAAATAAATAAATAAATAAATAAAATCTCATAACTATATTATCAATTTACATATATCAAAAGAAATAATAACAACAATATAGAAAATACACAAATATCCACCAAAAAAAAAAAAACTTCAAATCAACTCCTAAAACAATGATAGTTGACATATATATATTTATTATCAATGTAGTTGGAAAAAAATTACATTGGAAAAAAATTATATAGAGAAAAAAAAAATACTTACACGTAAATATAAATTTATAAAAAAAAAATCACAAACAAACAAATTTGAAATAAGTTTGGCTATTGGCAAAGAGAGAGAATAACCATTGCATCATTATATTTGGGGGAGGAGTTGGCCGGGCTGGAAAAAATATCAAATATTGAGTATTTTAAAAAGAGAATTGTATTGAATTTTTAATTTGATTGAGTTTTTTTAAATTTTAGATTTATATTATTTTCAGAAAAAAGTGAAAATGAGATGAAGGTGGCTTACCATGTTATTTTGAATTTTGAAATTCAAAATCATAAATAATTAGTGTCTTTATTTATTTTATTTTTTGAATTGTTTTCATCAACCTTATTTTTGGAAAGAGTTGAAGAGTGAGGATGACTTATTATATTGTTTTGAATTTTAAAATTTAAAATTGTAAATAATTAGAACGTTTTTTGTTTTTGGATTTTTGACTTAAGGAACTAATCATTAGATTATTTTTTTTTTATTTCTTTAAAAATTAACAAAATTAACTTGGGAGTTTGGAGTTTTCACAATTATTATTCTTAAAAAAACCGTTTTTCTTATATGTAGATAGACAGATATAGATAGATTTGTAAACAAGATTCTGCAGTTTTTTGCTTGGGATATAATATGCTCAAAATAATTGTGGCCCGAACCCTTATAACAAATAATGCAAATTAAACATATAATTAGAATTAAATATTTCTATATCTATTAAAAAACAAACATGGGAAATAAAAAGTTATATATCTCACTAATTTCATGAATTATTAATATATTTATTACTAATTCAGTTAATCAAACATGTCCTCTGTGTTTATTTTTGTTTTCTATTTGAAATTATGCATTAGGTTTGTTTGACATCTAACTGAAATTATTTATAATATTTAAAAAATATACTAATATGATTGGTAAAGTTTTTAATCTTATATTAGTTATAAAAAAAAAACTGATTATTAAAAATTGTGCAAGAAAAGTTGGATGATGGAGATGGTGGTTTGATTGGTATAATATTTTTATTCTCTTTTTAATGATCAATTATGAGATCTTTCCATTCATTTATTTTTAGTGATAATGAAACTAAGGCTTGGTTTGGGAAATAGGTTGGCTTTTTGGCTTTTTGGTTTTTTTGGCTATTTTAGCTTGGGCTAAAAAGCTTGGTTTGGGAAGGGTTTTTTGGCTTTTTTGACTTTTTTGTGAGAGAATAATGTAATGATTATAGGTTGGATGTGATGTTTTGTTTGTTATAGCTAAAATAGCCTATTTTATTTTTTGTGGCTAAAATAACCCAAAAAACTTGAAAACCATCTTGCCAAACAGAAGCTAAGAAATTATAATGGAAATATATTAGCAGCCGCCTTGGAATAAAAAAATGCAAAATACAAAATTCAGGAAATTATATAAAACTTGGTTCCCAAGAAAAGTTGGATCCTTATATAATAGGCACGTACATAGCAAAGCTTTTCCATTCCATCAAAGTCAGTCTTCTTCTAATCTTCTCCGGTACATAATTTCTACAACCATCAAAACCGGATCAAATCAGAAAGCTATTTCCGATGAAATCCATGGCTGCTCCTCCGTCTTCCCTCCTCGGTCCACCTGAAATCCACCGCCAAACCACCACCACCACCCGAAGGGCGGCCACCGACCGCTTCATGGATCTAATGGTGGCCAATTTCAACTCCGGCGGTCTCACTTCAGACCCACCCATGGGCTACACAGAGAATTTCTCCCGAACCTTCCTCTCCACTGGAAACCCCTGTCTCGACTTCTTCTTCCACGTCGTCCCCGACACCCCTGCCTCAACCCTAACCCACCGTCTCCAATCGGCCTGGGATCACAACCCCCTCATCGCCCTCAAATTGGTCTGCAATTTGCGTGGCGTTCGGGGCACCGGCAAGTCCGACAAGGAAGGGTACTACACGGCGGCTCTCTGGCTCCACAACCACCACCCCAAAACCCTCGCCTGCAATGTCGCCTCTCTCGCCGACTTCGGTTACTTCAAGGACTTGCCGGAGATTCTCTACCGCCTTCTCGAAGGCCCCGACGTCCGCCGAATAGCCAAGCAAGAGTGGAAGTCAAGGAAATCGGGGAACAGAAGGGTTCCGGTGCGACCTGGAGTATTCAGAGGAGGATTGAAACCGAAGAAGGTGGAAAGGTCGCCGAGAGAGGCTAGGGTTTTAGCGGAAATGAAGAGGGCAGAGATCGAGAAAGAGATGGCGAGTAATTCGAGGGAAGATAAGAAGATCGCCGCTGCGAAAAAAGCCTTGGAACGGTACAGCCGAGATCCGGATTACCGGTTCTTGTTCGACCGCGTTTCGGACCTCTTCGCCGAATGCCTTAAATCCGATATTAACAGCTTGAATTCCGGCGAATCGAACAAGATCAGCCTCGCTGCCAAGTGGTGTCCTTCTCTGGACTCTTCTTTCGATCGTTCGATTCTGCTCTGCGAGAGCATTGCGAGGAGGGTTTTCCCTCGCGAGTCTTACCCTCAAGAATACGAAGCCATTGAAGATGCTCATTACGCTTATCGCGTTCGTGATCGGCTTCGAAAGCAAGTCCTCGTGCCTCTTCGTAAAGCCTTGGAATTGCCCGAGGTTTACATTGGGGCTAACCAGTGGAATTCAATCCCTTACAACAGAGTCGCCTCTGTAGCCATGAAATTGTACAAAGACAAGTTCTTAAAGCATGACAAAGAACGATTCGAGGAATATCTGGAGAGAGTGAAGTCCGGGAAGGCCACGATTGCTGCCGGAGCGTTGTTGCCGCACGAAATCATTGGAGCGTTGAATGATGGAGATGGTGGCCAAGTTGCAGAGCTTCAGTGGAAGAGAATGGTGGATGATATGTCCAAGAAGGGGAAGCTAAAGAATTGTCTAGCAGTCTGTGATGTATCGGGTAGTATGGAAGGTATTCCAATGGAGGTATCTGTTGCTCTTGGTGTGTTGGTTTCAGAACTGAGTGAAGAGCCATGGAAAGGGAAGCTCATTACATTTAGCCATAACCCAAAGCTTCAGATGGTTGAAGGAGACAATTTGATATCGAAGATTGAGTTTGTAAGGCGTATGGAATGGGGGATGAACACTGATTTCCAGGCAGTGTTTGATTTGATATTGCAAGTGGCTGTAAATGGGAATTTGAGCGAGGAAGAGATGATCAAGAGAGTGTTTGTGTTTAGCGACATGGAATTTGATCAGGCTTCCTTTTGTCCTTGGGAAACGGATTACCAGGCGATAGTGAGGAAGTTTGGAGAGAAGGGGTATGGATCCGCAGTGCCGGAGATTGTGTTCTGGAATTTGAGGGATTCGAGGGCGACCCCGGTGCCAGGGAACCAGAAAGGGGTGGCGCTTGTGAGTGGATTTTCGAAGAATTTGATGACTATATTCTTGGAGGAAGGTGGGGATTTGAACCCAGAGGCTGTCATGGAAGCTGCCATTGCTGGTGAAGAGTATAAGAAACTTGTTGTGCTTGATTGATCATATAATAATATTAAGAAACTCGAATAGAGGACCAATCAGTTTAAATTTTCCCAGCCTCTCTGAAGGTAATGAGACAGACATGTAAATCTTGAAAATTTAATAAAGAAAATCACTTTATTCCATTTTTTGAGAATTGATTCTTTATTTGTTCTCACTTCACTTTTGTGTGTGCATGATTTGGGTGTTTTTTTTTTTTTTTTTTATTATTATTATCTTACGTACTAATGGATGAATGGGAATAGTGTTAGAAATCACAGTATCAGTGGGCTTCAATGTCTTATGTGAAAAGTGCAGATCAGTATGGAGCCAACTACGCCATTAGAAGCTCGAAACAGGAAACCAAGTGGATAGTTTGAGATATGAAATCATGGAAGCCATAAAATCAAAATGCGTAAGTAACGTATAATTTAAAAAATATACATATAAAGTGATATAACCGATCTTCTTGGAAAAAAGAAGAAACTTACATTAAAAAATAGTTAATGCCGTCTAAGTAAATTTCCATCATTCCCATCATCCACAATTATGTTCTGGACCTGCATTAAAAATCATTGAATTATCAGAGAAAAGAGGTTAGATAATTATTTAGAACAGATGTGATTGAGCTCACTAAAAAAACACATCACTAAAAATACTAATGAGTTGTAAAATATTAAAAAAAATAAAAAATAAAAAATAATAGAGACAACCATTACATCAAGGGGGAGAGTCACTTCATTAGTGCTCCCCCTAATGCTCTCTTTTTAGTGTTCCCAGCATTAATCTTATTTAGAAAATGTTAAGAACCTAAATAATTTATTAAATTTTTTACCAAATCTCTCACATGAGCATGGTGTAGGGATTCTACACTTATGTAAGAGGTTTGATAGAAAATTTGGAGTCTTAGCATCACTCTAATTATTTTATATAAATGCACTAACATCAAATAAATATGCAACAAGTTTTTGAATAATGCTATATATACCAATTAATATACTAACTAATATACCAATTGATGATGTAATATAATTTAAAAAGGTTTTTGGTATTTGTAATTTGTATAATGAGTGAGGTCAATAATAATATCATAACTAGTGTTCGTATACTAATTAGTACACTAATTAGTGAATGTAACATTACCGTAAGTTTTTACATATGAAAATAAATATGGATTGCACAATACAAATAAATATGGGAGACATTAAAAATTAGAGATAAATTTTCATGAAAAAACAATTAAGAGATTAGACAGGGATTTTCTTGAAGAAACATAAACTTACATTTGGGAATATTTGAATGAGGGATTCGGTCAAAACTCTCCCTCATAATAAAACTTTAATACAGTAAGGACAAGCATAAAAAAAAAAAAAAAAAAAAAATTCTTGAAAAATTCAACACATATTACTATTATCAAAATATTAAACTTTAAAATAATAAAATTAGTATTTTTAGAATCCTCTCATCAAGATCTATCAAATAAGATTCATGTTGACTGTGAAATTCTTACATAAAAAAAGAAAAAGTTATTATCATCGAAATTGATGTAAACAGTTACAACAACATATTACACTGTTTGACAGTAACATGCTACTCTAGTTCACAGTAACACCTCTAGCAATATTGTCCAAGAGGGGGGAAAAAAAAAATTGTCTTTCTCAATTATGTGTTTTCTCCTTAAGAGATTTATGAAACAAAATATATTGGGCCCTCCTTTCATCAAACAAGCGTCCAATGAAGAGATTTTAACTAAATTTTCTATTTTAATTAACGGATTTGGTTGGTAGCTCGAAATTTAGGGGCCCGAATGCCCCTAAATTTCCATATAAGGCAAAAAAAAAAAACAAGGCAAAAAAAAAAAGAAAAAAAAAACAAACTTATCCAAAAAAGGAAATTAGGGCCATTAGGGTCACTGTTTTTAGGGCCACAATTCATTTTCCTTTAATTAAAACCTTTTCAAAATGTTGACTCATTTGAAGCCATTAAATAGTAAGAAAAAACATTTATGGAAATTTGTGAATTGATTTTTGAAACTGATTAGTTAATTTTACTTTCAAATTTCTAAATTTAAATAACCTTCCTTTCAAATTTTGTAATTCATGCCTTAGAATTTTCTTCCCAATAACATTTAGGAAGATTAGTGAGATTAGGAAAGGTTTTTTTTTCCCCTTTATTTATCTTTCCATTTTGAAATTCATAAATTATGGGATTATTTTTATTTTAAAATTTGTTAATAGAATGTGCTAGGTAATAGCATTTTTAAAATTTGTTTTTAATTATAAAAAAATTAAAAATTTGCTAGGAAGAATTAGACACTACAAGAAAAAACACCTTTGGCGACTAAATTTTTAGTCGCCAAAGGTCCTATTTTAGTCGCCAAATGTCAAAATTTCACTTTTCCCGACTAAAAAGTTTAGTCGTCCGTGTTGTCGCCAATAAAAGGTCGCGAATGCCTTTGGCGACTAAAACACTGTTAGTCGCCAATATATATGTCTTCAGCGACTAAAGATTTCGTCGCCAATAGTCAATTTCTGTATTGGAAATTATACCTTTGCCGACTAAACTGTTAGTCGCCAATAGTTCATTTTTATTTTATTATTAATACCTTTGGCGACCATTCACTTTAGTCGCTGAAAGTATTTTCAGAAAAAAAAATTTTCTTTGCCTCCGCTGCTCCCAACAGGTTTCGAACTTGCGACGTCCCTTTGCACACGCCAAACCCTTTGCACAACACTCCCTCCACTATGCCAGTACCTCATCATATGATCATATATGCAATATATATTATTTATATACTATATTAACCGCAATTAATACAAAATAATATTTATAAATATAATTTTTTTAATTCAATATAATTTTTGTCAAAAAATAAATTATTTAATAAAAAAAAATTAGGCGACTTTTGGCGACTAAAACCATTTTTTAGTCGCTAATTGTATTATTTTGGGCTACTAATTATTTATTTGTCGCTAAAAAAACAAGTTCTCAATTAAAAATCAGCACTTTTGGCGACTAAACAGAAATTTCGTCGCCAAAACCACTACTTTGGGCGACTAAAATGGATTTTCGTCGGCAAAACCCCCACTTTCAGCGACTAAATTGTTTTTAGTCGGCAAAACAGCTATAATCAGCGACTAAACCTATTTTTAGTCGCCAAAACCATACCTTTTCGCTACTAAATTATTTTAGTCGCTAAAAACCGTGACTTTTGGCTACTGAACCAACTTTAGTCCCTGAAAACCCTATATTAGGCGGCAAAACTTCCTTTTAGTCGCTAAAAACATGCTGTTCGGCGACTAAACCCTTTTAGTCGCTAAAAACCTGCTTTTCGGCGACAAATTCCAATTTAGTCGCCATTTCACGCACTTTCAGCGACGAAATTTCATGTTTTGGTCGCCATTTCTGTTTTTTGTTGTAGTGAGAGATCTCAGGCTCTTGGTAGACCCCCTTTTTTATTTTTTCTTTTTTTTTTGTAATATATAGTATAGACAATAATAATAATTATTTTTTATTTTATTTTATGGGAGATGTGAATGGGGTTCTCTAATTTTTATGTTTTTTTTTATAGTTATTAGCTGGGCTTTTGGAGCGTCAGCTTTTTGGATGCAACATGTGGGCTTCACCTTCGCCATGAGTGCCGTGCTGGATCTCATTCATGCACATAGCAACACTGGCAAGTTACCAGCCCATTTACTTTTATCAAACAAACTACGTTTTCCCTAACTTGGGCTTCTCATCATTAAATTACAGTAGATAAAATTATAGCCCAAATATTTTGGGCCAATCACGCCCATTAGGTATTAAACTCTCAACAGCTCGGCTTTCTCAAATACCCCAACAGCCATTTTAAGGGGTTCACATTCTTGATGGACTTTGTTTCTCCCAATTTATGCAAATAGGCTGCGAATCAGCTTTGATTGAGTAATCTCATGCTACAATTTACCCATCTTTTTTTTTTTTCCCACATTCTTGATGGACTTTGTTTCTCCCAATTTATGCAAATAGGCTGCGAATCAGCTTTGATTGAGTAATCTCATGCTACAATTTACCCATCTTTTTTTTTTCCCACTATTTACTTTGTTGTCAGGTCTTTGTTTCAATTAGTGTTATGGATATTGTGTAATCTTATTTGTTTAGTTTGTTGCTCTTTTAGGACGTTTGTGGCATGATTGTGTTATTTAATGTTTAGGTTAGTAAGAAGTTACTAAGCTATGTCTCTCTTCTATGTATACATTTCTTTCCTGATTGTGTTTGCTCTTTTATAATGTTTAGGTTATTCGTCACGCATGCTTCTTTTGATCAAGCTTGAATCTTTTTCAAACGATGTCATTCTTCTTGCAAAACAACTCCAGTGAGTTACTTGGGTATATGCCGAAAAATCCCTCTGATGCCTAAGTTTTTAAGATCAATATGGAAAAGGCTCTCTAAATCTGAGAATTATAATTGCAACCTCTAAACTTTTTATATTTTCTACATGATAAAATCTCAATAGGACTCTAATTTTTTACTCCTCCAATCAAGATTCCTTTCTTAAAGGATAAGATATAACCTTTAACACATTTATCATCAATGTTAAAGTAAATGACCCAACTCCCAATCCGGCAACCAAGCTACCTCAAGGTTCTACCCCGATTGCACGTCAATTGCGAAATCACAATAGTTGCCTTACTAATTTCCAGTAAGAGCAGTGAGCTAAAACCCAATACAAAGACCATACTAAGTTTACCCGGTTCATCTATTTTGTCAAATTCTTCACTCCGGTCAATAACCCAACTTGGCCGAAATGCACGCTTCGTTTGCCTAGTCAACATTCATAACCTGGTTTCAGCCTTCCAAGATAACAAAGTTAGCTCGGTCCAAAACTCATGACCATACTAATTTAGCCCAGTCCAAGATTAAGGACCATGCTAATATAGCTTGGCCCAAGTCTATGAACCATAATGATTTAGCCAGGGCTATTAGTTCGGTGTAAATTATCCTCTCATTGATGATTTGAACTGAAGTTATTCTCTTTTGTCAAAAATAATAATAAAAAAAATATTTTGCGGCAATTATCTATTTCATAGATGGAAATTGACGGAATTGTATAAACAACAAACAGTTAAGATTGTAAAAAAATTAATTACTAACATTAGTGTAATAGTAGTGGATTGAAAACTAGATATCCCAAATCTAATCTTTATTTTTTCGGTGGTGGTACATACACTAATTAGTGTACACATTAGTGTACTAACTAATATTATGACATTATTATTGACCACATTTATTATACAAGTTACAAATACTCAAAATCATACGGATGATGCCACATTATCTGTTTGTATACTAGTGTGTACATTAATTGATATATATATAGTATTATTTTTATTTTTTGCTTATTGAGGTGAGGAAGTCGGTGCTAATCATCATGTTTAAGGAGAAAGATAAAATCAATAATGTTTTCTAATGCTAATTATCCCCTCCTCGCCTTTCTCCATATAATGACTGATAATAGGATTATACTAAACTTGTGGTATTTATTTTTATTTTTTTTAACTCTCAAAGGAGATAAGTGTAATTTATTTATAAAAAAATGTTTGAATTATCTTTTCATAAATAATAAAATTAAGGAAAATGAGTTGGACCCCCTCAAGGAGGCACCCCCTTTGACCCCCTCTCTCCCTGATTGGTCAGTTTTTCTTTTTTCTTTTTCTTTTTTTCCTTCTCCTCCAATCACTGCACGCCACATGTATGTGGAGTGGTGAGGGTGGTGATTGGAGGGGGTCTCAATCACTTTCCTAAAATTAAAGTGCAAGACTAGATGATGATGATGATGCGTGTTAAGAGGCAAACAGCCGTAAAAAGAAAAGTAGTACAGATCATGAAAAAAAACATAAACAAGATAGCCAAAATAAGGCACTAGGCATTAACACTTGTGCCACAACTATGTCTGCAATCAATGGACTTGCAATTTCATTTGGGAATCATCAAGAGCTACCAGATCCTCATGGTGATTAGCCACCAGCACTCTTGTTGGCCTCTCTCAAAATGTGGCTAACAGAACAATTGCATTTGTTCATAAGAAACTTGATATCTTCAAGCAAGGCTCTCTGTGGAAAATGGTTTGGAGCGTCACCATTAATGAGTAAGACCATTTGTTCAGAATCTATCTCAATGCTTATATCTTGCATGCCCTTTTCAAAAATGATAGTTAACCCTCTATACATGTCCACCGCCCTGTGTTAAGGGATTAACTTCTTCACGACTAAACTGTACGGATGGCCAATCGATAGAAGACATATCAACCAAGTTAAGCTCCACCAAGAAAAAAAAAACCACCCTCCGTCATCTGATTACTTGTCTCCCTTTGTCTTCACCCATGGTCTCTCTGCCCAAGCCCAATCACCAACCACCGCTACCTCTCTCTTCCCCAGCCCTCGGCGTCGACCACCACCCCCTTCTTCCGTCTCTCTCCGAACAAGAAACCCACCACCATGCAGCCTCTATATAGTTAATCCTAAACAACAACCTAATCAGCATTTCCGGTTTGATTCGTTCGTTATTCGACTCGGGCAACAATTCTGCCACCAGTTGGCAATTCATGGTGCAGTGTTATGTGGAACTTCATTTACCTATTTCATAGGGCTCTTTTTGCAAACAACACACTGTGATTCCGTGGCTATATGGCTCTGTTGGCTACATATTTTGTACAAGCCAATTACAATTCGACGCGTGGCGAAATAAGGGTAATATAGGAAGACTATTCAGGTCCTCGATCTTGATCGTACACGTGGCAGTTAGTATTGGTTATTAAGAGATCTGAGTACACTACAAGGAAATTGACATACAACAACGTTTATACAACATCGTTTCAAAAAAACGCCATTTTTTTGTGTTTTTCGTGTTTTACATAAAAAAAGGAAAAAGAAAGAAAGTCACTTAACAGATCTCACTCTCTCACGCTCGTATCTCCGTCATGGTCTGTCTCTCTCATTCTTACTCTCATATCTCACTCTCACAGATCTCACTCCCTCTCACTCTCTTACACACCGCTCATCTCTCTCGCAATCGAACATCGATCTACATTCCTTGGTCAAACATCGATCTCTGTCGCTCTAGGGCTTTGCTCTAGCTGTTCTTCATCGAACTCGAACTCGAACTCAATCTGTTCTTCATCTCAGATCAGATCATTATCATTCTTCGATTCTCTTCTTCTCTCTTCGATCTCTCTGCAAATCTCTCTCTCACTCTAAACTCTGTTTGGATCTATCTGTGTTCGATCATGGAGATGGAACGTGTGATCGAGTTTCCACACGCGCACATGGATCGTCGTCCCAGAAAGAGACCACGTTTGGGTTGGGACGTTGCTCCTCAGGCCCTTAACGTATCAAATCTGTTCTCTAGATCTCTAATTTCATAATTTTTTTTCTTCTTTTTTTTGGTTCTGTTTTTTGCTAGATCTGGTTGAAATTAGATACGTGGTAGATCAGGTATGAGAAAAGGTTTATGCTTTTATAAATCTGTAAATTTCATGGTAGATCGGGTTTGGATAAAGGTTTTTTTTTTTTATGTAAAATCGATTTTTATGTATGATCTGTAAGTGTCTGTCTTTCTTGGTGGAGATGCGAAGTTACTTGAGCTAGAAAAGCTTGTTCTTCCTCTTTACTTGAGCGTATATCTTCGGGATTGTTCGAATCCTTCTGATCTAAATCGATCTAGGGCTCAAGGTAAGGGTTTTCTGACTTGGATTCGCTAAGTTCACTCAAGATCTGTAAAATGTAGGAATTAACCTATGTAAGTGAAGTATATATTAATTATGTTGTACAGAAATGTTTGACCGAGGAATGTATGCTGGCCTGGTTGGTTGGTTTGGAGGAGGAGAAAGTGAGTTTGTTGTTGGAATAAGGTCAGCCTTGGTGGGAAGGGTGAGCCACTTACTGCTACATCTTTCGCTGAAATCTATATTATTTGTCATCAAAACTTCAACTTTTGACAGTACACTAAAAATGTAGTTTCTGCCTTTCTTTTCCTTTTTTCTCTGTCAAGCTATATACCAAAAGAACTATTGAAATGGTTTTCACTGACAGTAACAGCAATGGGGTTATTTTTGTATATGGATGTACTTTCATTTCAAAAATCTCTATAACTGTCCGTGATTTCGTAGTGATGTCATTCCCAAAGTAATGTGTGCTGACCAATTTGGATAGGGACTTGTTGCATTAATTTATGCTGGAACTGGTATAGTTGAAGGAAGTAATTCATCTTTAGAATGGGAGGAACTGGAGCTGAAGACATCTCAGGTTTGTGAATGTCTTTGTTTGGATGCATATATGTGGATGTGTGGGGCTACACCCATTTGTGTCAAAATGCACTTGTCTTCATGCTTAAAAACATGCTTGTAGAATTGCCATTTTATTTATCTGTTTTCTATGTTTGTTTAAATATGGATTGTATAGTACTATATTGAGGGCATATCACTTTGCATCATCAAAAATGCTTTTAGGAAATACCAAGCGATGCTAAAGGCCTTTTTCCATGTTTTTTTGGGTGCAGTTTACCAAGTTGATGAAACTTGAGGTGCCTCTTTTGATACCAAGAAGGGGTGATGTCACAATTATTATTATCAAGAGAGGGATTATCGTATCTAACTTCCTCCCTTTCTCTCTCTCTTGGTGAAATGTGTTGAGGTTTTCAAGGATGCTGCAGTGTGTGTGAAGGGGTGATGTTTTGACCATGTTGTGGTTCGGGGAGTGGTTCGGGGAAATAGCGAGGTCTAGTGGTGCTGTTGATCCATGTGGTCTAGTGGTTCGTTATGTTCGTGGAACCTAAATTCCTCAAAATAAAATATTTAGGTGGCGACTCTGTATCTGGCAAAGCAGTCCATGTTTGGCACTTCTTTCAAAAAATCTGTTTTTAAAAAAAAACGATTTGTCGGATCTGGACTCTTTGATGATTCATCGGTCTTGCATTGCACTCTGCGAGATTAGATACAGGACCGTGACATTTGAGTCTTGAACTGTAGTGAGCCCAAATGAACAGAACGGGATTCCCTCCCAGAACGTTCGGGGACGTCTACAGGGAGTAACGCTACTACTAGCATTGGTACTCCTTAAAATCGCCCTCCTTGTCGGTTCACTTGTTCTGGGAATGATCCCATTGTTGAACGCATTCTCGACCTGAACCCCCAGTTCATGCAAACTTTTGAAAGTGAATAGTGGAGCGACTATCAACTTTCACAACATATCATGCTCGAGGTTTCGCACCACTAACCTCACTTGATCCCTCTCAGAAGGGCGATTGTAGACACCCCATTTTTGACCGACCTTAAGACTCAGACGTCACCGATTGAGCGCTTGGTGATGTTGCATATCGTGCTCGTTCAGAGGTTTCGGAGTCTTGGCCGCGAGCTTTGCCTCCGGACTTCCGGACTCTTTCATGCTTTGCCTCGGTTTGCGAACTAGGCTTTGTTTTCTCTGTTTCTTTACCGAAGGGAGGGAGAGGTCTCGTAGATCATCTTTCAGTGGCCGTAGGCTACTTTTGGTGGTCGTAGGCCATTTTGCCCGTTTGGAGTCCAGTTTCCAATTTTTCGGAGCCGTTGGCTGTGTGCCTCGGTTCGGGACCGCTTAACCATCTCCGTTTGCTCCGGTTTCCGGCGTGCATCCTATTTTCTCCCTTTTGAGGGACATTGTGGTCCGAGAGACCAACTTCGTGGTCGAACACCACTCCCGGTGCCCAAAGGTCAGTTTTTGGGGCCCCGGACTGCGCGTTTCGGCCCCCGAACCTTCGTTTTGCATCGGTTTGGGCTCATTTTTGGTGGAGACCTTATTTTCACTGTTAGAAAGCTTGTAGGAGGGTGGGAGGCCATCAATTTTGCTGAAAAGCCAACTTCTTTTTGGTCAAAAGTGGTTTAGCATGAATCCGGGAAGGAGAAAAATCTGCGCGGCTTCACCAAAATGGGCGTAACTCTTTTCACAAGAGGAATTAAAATATGAGGCCACCACCATTGGAAAGCTTACTTCTGGGGCTTCATTTTTCACTCAATAATCTCCCAAGTCCAAGTCCGGGGGGGAGAGATGTGGTTGGTTGAAGTCCACTTGGACCGAGTCTGCGCGGCTTCACGGAAAAGGGCATAACTTTTTCTACAGGAGGAATTTTAATACAAGGTTTGCGCCATTGAAAAGATAACTTCTGGGGCTTCATCCTAGGGGGTGGCCGGCCACTTTTTTCCCTTTGACCTAGCCGGCCGGCCACTTTTTCTGGCCGGCCGGCCACTTACCTGGTGGATGACTTTTTTTCCCCTTTTAAACTGGCCGGCCATTTTTGCCCCTGTGAGTGCATTCCAGCCATGTATTTGTTTTTACACTTCACCCATGTCCGAGGGTTTGGCATTTTTTGGAGGGAAACTTGATCCATTTTTCCCCCACTTTTTCCCCCCTTTTTTCCCCCCATTCTTGCCTATTTAACAGAGGCTCCAGCTGCTGGTTTAGGGTTGAAAAATTTCCCTAAGAGCCTCTTGCATTATATCCCTCCATCTCTCTCATTTCCTTCAAAAAACCTTCAAACCCTACACCATTTTACACTACACTACCAAGCCTCACACCACCATTTCCATTTCCAGCAGCTTGGAGGTCTTCTCAAAGGCTAGGAGGCAGCAAATTTGGTCCAAGAAGTTGCTAAAGGTTGGTCTACAAGGGTGAGTACCATTTTCCCCCTTTTTTGAGCTTATTTTTTTGCAACATTTCTTAGCCATACATTCTTGCTGTTTTGAGCTCCGGCCATAACTGAAAGTAGTGTCATTTTGAGTTCTATTTCATGTTTCATTAAGGGACTTTTGTCATTTGAGGTCCATATCTTGCACTTGCTTCAATATCCTCCTTGAATGCCATTTTCTTGCATGATATTTTTAGCCTATGTTTGATCTGTTTTGGAGCATGATGCAATCTGTAAGTAGGCTTATTTTGAGCCTCTCTTCAACATTGAAGAAGGGCTCATCACTGTTTGGGACCTCCATGTACCACTTGTCTTTATATCCATCTTTGGTCCCCATTTTTGCATGACTTGGCAGCCTATTATGCTTCCATTTTTGGACGATTTTCAGATCTAGAAAAGGTCTTATTTTGGCCATCTCTTCATGTTTCATTGAGGGTCCTTCACTGTTGGAGGCACCCTTCCTATACTTTGTGTTGTATCTCTCTTTTAATCCCCATTTTTGCATGATTTATTAGCCTAGTGTGCTTCTGTTTTTGGTCATTTTACAAAGCTAGAAAAGGTCTTATTTTGGCCCATTCTTCATGTTTCATTAGGGCCTTTCATGATTTGAGGCATCTTTTATACACTTCATGTTATATCTCTCTTTTGGACCTCATTTTGCATAGCATTTTTGACATATTTGCATACTGTTTTGGGTCCGACCCTCAACTGTAAAATGCCTTATTTGTGGTCCCTCATCAGTATTGTAGAAGAGTCTTTTTCTGTTTGGGCTTTGCATCTACCACTTCCTTCTTTGGCCATCTTTTGGCTCATTTCTTGCATGAAAGCTTAGCCATACCTATGTTTGTTTTTGGGCTATTTTTAGAATTGTAAAAGATCATGTTTTGGGCCCCTCTTCAACTTTGTTGAAAGGCCCTAATCTTTTTGAGGACAGCAGCTGTGAGTTGCTTCTTAATCTCATGTTTAGAGCCATTTCTTGCATGCTAGTTTTGCCCTGTTTTTGTTTGCTTTTTGGCCATGATTTGAACTGTAAAAGTGCTTATTTTGGGGCTTCCTTGCTTCTTTCTATTCATTGCATGTCAATATTGTGCATGTTTGGTATAGCTATAGGCCATTTCGGGTGCCAAAATTCATGTTTCGGGACTATTCCATGCATCGGGTGTACTCTCGTCTTATTTCGGGGCTGTTTTCCCCCACATTTCAGTGTTGAAATTCCATTAGCATGTTTGCATATGCCATTTTAGCCATATTGCATTGCATATGCCATTGCCTCGGTTTGCGTGCCCGTGTGCACGCGTTTCGAGGCACTTCATTTTCATCCATCGACCTCTTGTGTGAGTGTGGCTGAGGCTCTCTCATGTTAGTATAAGTCCATGTTGCATTCTATATTCCATTCTAGCCATATTGCATTGCATATGCCATTGCCTCGGTTTGCGTGCCCGTGTGCACGCGCTTCGAGGCCCTTCATTTTCATCCATCGGCCTCTTGTGTGAGTGTGGCTGAGGCTCTCTCATGTTAGTATAAGTCCATGTTGCATTCTATATGCCATTTTAGCCATGTCAGTATAAGTCCATGTTGCATTCTATATGCCATTTTAGCCATATTGCATTGCATATGCCATTGCCTCGGTTTAGGTGCCTGTGTGCACTCATTTCGAGGCACTTCATTTTCATCCATCGGCCTCTTGTGTGAGTGTGGTTGAGGCTCTCTCATGTTAGTATAAGTCCATGTTGCATTCTATATGCCATTTCAGCCATATTGCATTGCGTATGCCATTGCTTCGGTTTGCGTGCCCGTGTGCACGCATTTCGAGGCATCTCATTTTCACAGCATAGTGCATACTAGGTTGTACCTTAGATCGCATTCATGCATTTCTTCAGTTTGCGTGCCCGGGTGCACGCATTTCGAGACATCTCATTTTTACAGCATTGTGCAAGTTAGGCTGTATCTTAGTTGCATTCATACATGTCATGCATATTGCATTGTGTTCGGAATAGGAGTTAGCCCGGGCACGGGAAACGAGGTGCGTTTCGTACTCCGAGTGACGGAACGCGTCTCAATTCCCCAGTCACCGACACACCGGATCTGGCTTTTTGATGAATATTTTGTATACTTTGTGTTATAGCCACTTTTGAGCCTCATTTTGCATTGCATTTCTAGCATGTTTGTATACTGTTTTGGTCATTTTATAGTTCTGTACATATGCATATTTTTGGTCCCTCTTCAATGTTGTAGAAGGGAATTTTTCAGTTTG